TTTTTTTGCTGTCCTAGGCATAAATAATCACTTGTCAGTGGGAAGCTTTTTTTGTTTGTCAGTACTAAACGTGTGTTTATTTTTCTGTTTGAAGGACCGAATAATCGATGCTGGCCCAAAAGGGAATTATTCTCGTTTTATGAACCATAGTTGTAATCCAAACTGTGAAACACAGAAATGGACAGTGAATGGTGACATTAGAGTTGGACTTTTTGCTCTTTGTGATATTCCTGCAGGTAAAAGGATAGCGCTATTTTGCATGATTGCTTTCCTCTTAAAATGGCAAAGTTCCCAACTTACCCATTTTTTTCTTCTCTGAAGTTACTTAATGACAGTGACATTCACAGGAACTTTTTCATTCGTTGGTGTGGAGACAAATCCTAGTTTCAACAGGAATCATAATTCGAAATAGTTTGAAAAGGAAAACTTCCCTTAAAAAGAATTAAGGGATTTGCTACAAAGCACAGTGTTAACTGTTTATCATGTAAACAGATTTCTTTTTATATAGCATTGATCTTTTCACTAACACTTAACCTGATGTGATATGATGTTTCCACATTAAATGTTTTACCTGGTCTTCTGTTTAAACTGACACTATATGATAGAATAGCTGCTGCCTACGTCTGATATACACAGAATTTGGTACATGTAAAGATGTGCTGGTGCTTGCATAAAAACCAAGAGCAAAAGGGAAACTTTATCCCATACTGAAAAGAGTCACTTCCATTGTCACATACAAAAAATACTGACACATCATGTGAAAAGAGTTGTTACCGTAATGTGGTCTGCAAAGAAAAAGTTAAAGGAAATAAAATCTCAATATTAGGTTCGGAATTAGAAGTATGAGTAAAGATTCCTCTTTTAGTTGACCCTGCTTTGAGGAGGGATCACCTAGTTTTGGACTAGATGATCTCCTATGGTCCTTTCCAACCTCGGCGAGTCTGTGAGTCTGTAGTCCTATAATTGTCTGAATTACCATTCATTGTGATTATGAAACAAAAACAAGTAGTATTTTCCTCAGAATTTGGCTTAATGTATAATCTGTGTCTCTTCTAACAGCTTCTCAAGTTTGCCTTCCCTGAGAGCCGTTCTCTCTGTTTTTGAAATCAATGCAGCAGTTCAAGCTAGAGATTTTAAAAGATATTGCTGCTAATTTCTCACAGACTGTGAAGAGAGAAACTTTTAATATCATGTCATTGTCACAAGCCTGTCTTTCATCTATAGCTATGTGGATGAATTATTTTTCTTTACGTTTTAGGAATGGAGTTAACATTTAATTATAATTTGGATTGCCTTGGCAACGGTAGGACTGAATGTCATTGTGGAGCAGAAAACTGCAGTGGCTTTCTAGGAGTGCGCCCAAAGGTACATGGATGAAAATTGAAGCTGCTTCTCCTAAATTTAGAGATCTAGAGAGGAGGGCAAAGAGAGGTCTTTGTTTTGTTTAACCTTTTACCTTAATCTGTTTAATGCTTTCCACCCTTGAAATTTTCGTCTCCAAAGATTTTAGTTATGAAATTTGTGTTACTGCCTCTAGGATGGAGAAATCAACCACCATGCTATCAGCTGGGGAAGTAAGTCTTATATATGCTTAAGGTGCCCTCCTCTTTTTTTATAAAACTTTATTTGTCATCTTTCTGCTATGACATTGGGACATTCCCAGGTATACTTGGGGGACTCAAGAGCCTGGCCTTGCTGTCATGCATTATTCTAAAAAAGTTACTTGCCCTGATGTTAATCTGCATTTTGTGATGTATCCTCCTGAGCAAGGGACAGTAGTGGCACAAATCTTATCACTGTTGTATAAAAGTCGTTTTGAGAAAGAAAGTGAATATGCAAATAAACCTCCCGTTACAGCAAAGTGCTCTCTGGATATCACCATGAAAAAATTTACCAGATTGTTAATTCAAATCCATGTGGATGTCTTTCATTGCTTAAAGTTCTTTTAGAGTAGATTTAATTTGAGCGTAAGTCATGCAAATAACTCAAAGTTGATTAAATTTATTTCAGTGCAAGGGGTTTATAAAGTAACTGTATACCGTGATCTTTGTAATTGCTAGACAGCGTTTGCAACAGCAAATGAGGAGAAGGTGAAGAATGCAAAATTAAAACAGAAGAAACGGAAAATAAAAACAGAACAGAAGCAGATGCATGAAGACAACTGTTTCCAATGTGGAGATGGCGGAGAACTAGTCATGTGTGATAAAAAGGACTGTCCCAAAGCATACCACCTCCTATGCCTTAACCTGACTCAACCACCTTTTGGTAAGAGCATTCATATGGCTTCCTAGTGATGTTTTCCTTTCTGCAGAAAGACAATGTCTGAGCTGAATTGCAGTATCCATTTACATTAAATGTAGCATATCTGTCTTTGCCATACCACTCATTCTGAGAAATGTGCCAGGTGGTAGTATTCCTAAATAAGAGCCGGTGGAGAGAGAGGTATTGTAATAGTTTTATTCTTCTTCTTGATGCCTTTCTTTCTTGGATCAAATATTCTTCTTCATTTATTTTGATTGAAATATAAGCATCATCTTGATATCCTAGGGTTACCGAGTGCAAACCCCATGATAGTTCAAACCATTAACATATTAAGCGTAACATATATGGCTCAGTAATTGCATTTAAATTCCCTATTATATCCTGATGCATGTGTCTTCCATTCGATTTTTTTCCATGCAAAGGCATACCTTTCTTTAACTATGGCTCAAATTATCCAATAATGCAACATTTTAGCCAGTTGCAGGGCCTTTTAGAAGTCGTCGTCTCCTTAATCTTCCTGATTACAGTGGCTTTAATGAAAATAATTGGAAGTACAGATTAGTCTGTGCTTAAATTAATCAGAAGGCTGCCATGAGTGAAGTTCAATTTATGTACCTTTTCAGTGTATTATAAGCATGGAAGCTTTCCTCAAAATCGCTTTTTTGCTGGAGAAAGAAATGGCTGCATCTTATCACCATCAGCAACTTCACTTAGAGTTTTTTTTTAATTTTGTTTTGTGTGCATTCTTACTTTTCGGGACAGGGGTCTTTGCACGTTGTACATGCGGTATGTCATGTCCCTGTGAAGGAGTGCGCCATCTATTTCTCAAAGGTAATCCAGCTAAAAATAACTTCAGAGAGACTTGGACACAAGAGCAAAAAGGCTTTTCTATTTTCTTTTTGCTGTGTTCAGTATGCTTTTGCTGCCTGACAGTTCAGCACATAGTCATTCAAATACATGTCTGAATGGTTTGGGGAATCTGTTTATGCTCAAACACGCTTTTACCTAACTTCTCTGAGCCATTTCTCAGTTATTTTTCAAAACTAATCCAGTATGTTTTCTACATTAAAGTACAGTGCAGTTTAGCTAAAGCTTGATACACATCTGCGTGATTACTCTTTCCAGAACAATAAAACAGATGTTCACAAATCAGAAAAATGTACAAAACCAGCTCTCCATCTTGCAAGGAGATATGGCGTCTTGATGCCAAAAGTGTTTGATCTAACTCTTTTAAGCTCTGGTTATACATGCAGCAATGTTTTGAGCCAGATGAGGCCTAAAAAATGCAAAATGTCTGAGAACTGTTTCCAGTCAGATTCTTGTGAGAAGCAGATGTAGTAACTATACCAAGAGCTGATTTTTGGAACTTTGTTTGCATTCATCTGAATGATTACTACATGGAGTAAGGATTAAAGGCCAGTACCAGCCCCCAAATGCACTAATCTCAGCTTCCTGTCTCTCTTCTTCCTTCCCCTTCCATCTTCAGGAAAGTGGGAATGTCCGTGGCATCAATGCGACATCTGTAGCAATCCTGCAGTTTCATTCTGTGAGTTTTGCCCTCATTCATTCTGTAAAGATCACGAGAAGGGAGCCTTGGTGGCATCAGCGTTGGATGGCCGTCTCTGCTGCTCCACACATGACCCCAAATCTCCTGTGGCACCTGAGTACTGGAACAAGATAAAGTGCAAATTGGAATCACAGAATCCTGTAGAAGAAGCAAAGGAATGAATTTGCTTAAAAAGCAAGGGAGGGGAGAAGAGGGGCAAATAGGTGATGACCTTGAAGAGACTGCTATTGACACGTTCAGTCTTTATCATCAGAGCCGCCTTGTTTGAACTGGGAATGGGACCATTTAATCTTAGCCAGCAGAAGCAGGCAGTGATGTTTGTTTTTTTTTTTTTTTTATTGTTTGGTCTGTCTTTTACCCTTGAATGTGCTACAGCAGCTCTTACTGTTGGAAAACAAGAACATCTTGGCCTTCTTAAGAAAAGAAGTAGACCTTTTGACAGTGAGAAGAATATTCTGTTTAAAATATGTTCTTTGAGTGTAGAAGCAAAGCATAGCAACATATTTATTTATTTAATTTTTAAAGGATGTTGAGGATTTGATTTTGATCAGTCTGTGTAATAGCAAAGCCAACGTAACTTTTATGTCTAGTTTGTGAGAGAAGAATAAATCCTCCCCACTCTGTGTAACATTCAACTGCCATAAAGACAGATGTGGGTTTTGGACCAGGTGACAGTGAAATGCCTCCATTCCAGTACTTATCTCTTAAAGGCATTTTGAGAAGGTAGGTTATGTATCGTGTTAACTTATGTATATTATTTTGAAGCTTTCCCTATGCGAAATCAGGTATATGACTTTTTGGAAGTGTTTGTGATGCAAGATTTGACACTTTTTAAAAGGGAAGAAATTATGGTTCCTTGCTCGAGAGCTGTAATCAGTGGTGCTTGCAGACAGGAGGAAATTCAAAAAAAAGCTTAATTGCACAATGTTCACTTCTCTGTCCCACCTAATTTGGAAAACCTGCCTAGTTAGGATAGCCTTCTGGCCTCGGTCACATACTGCAGCACTCTCATAACTGACGTCTTAACCATGCCAGTGGGAGCACTATCACTGACTTCATTAGATGCAGGATTGTTTTGTGCATATGTATTTGTCATCTGCCAAGTCTGTACTTGTTTTATGGCAATTATATTCGTGTGATTCTTTATTGCTTTTTCAGGCTCCCATTAGCTTCAAAGGGAGTTTGAGTGCTTAAGGAATCAGACCCATATATGTGTGTGTTTTGATGGAATGTTTGGATTTTTTGCTGAGGGAGACAAATCTTTTAACTTTAATCTCCTTTAATAATGGAGTTAAGGAAAATCAGTTATTTCCCAAGAGCACTTCTTCAATGAACAGGGTATTTTCTATATTTACATAATGGGATGTATTCACAGCAGCCAACTTTAACCTCATGAGATGAATCTCTCTTGGCTTTCCTCTGTAATCAGTAGAGAGACAGGCTCCTGCAGCAAGTGTTTTGAAGTGGCTTAGGTAGGCTCCTGGTCCGAATTTTCCCTTGAAGAACCTATCCCTCTCCGTTTGCTGTGCAAAGAGCCTAGGAGGGTAAATTTTCCCAGGCTGAAGTTAGTCTTTTGTGAATCTCCTACCCTAGCCTGAAATCTTAAAAAGCACTGTGCATCTCCCCCTGCCCCAGTATAGTTAGTGTACTTCTGATTGTGATGCTGATATTAGCTAACTTTATGATAGCTTTTTGCTAAAGGGTGTTGAAAATAGCCCTGAATGAAAGGAGTTAATATGTGTTGCTGGCACTCGGCTAAATTAAGCTGCGTAATTCTCAAGAACCTTGTCTCGGGAAAACTACTTACCTAAACCTACAGGAATACGGTGACATCTCAGTTCCAGAAAATAGCAGGTTGTGGGATTTTGGAACATGTCTTACCTTTGGCTGGTGCCCTTGCCATTCTCAAATTTATGTATAAGGGAACAAATTTTTGTTTTATGTGCAATTTAAAATTCCAAAATACACTACAGATTCTTTAAGCAGCTACTGTGCCATTTTAACTGATCAGGCAGTTCATCTTCTGAACAGTTTGCAGATGCCTTTCTACAAGCTTTTGAGTGAATTGGATTGCATAGCTGTGTAGATATCTCTTTGGGTCAGTTTATGGTACAGAGGGCTAATGGGATATACAGAGCACTTCATCTTCTTGTGGTCAATACTAAAGTGAATGTCTAAAACACTAATCTTGCTTGAAAGCAGTGCTATATTTTGGTATTTTTTACAAAAAAAATTTACAAAAAGGATTTTATTTTTTTTAACATTTTTTGTGTGATAAACGTCTGTTTCTAAGCTCTTACTGAGGGTATTTAACTTTTTCAGAAATTCCAAACATAACTCTTGCTACAGCGTCTATAAGGCCTGATCTGTTTACTTTGTATTATGTATTAGGCTTGATAATGTTCAAATGATTTTTCTCCTGGAAAGTCAGAGCATTCTAAATATTGCAAATACTATATAGTGTGAGTGTACCTACATCCTTTTTTTTGTTCTCTGTCAGTGGTAACTTACTGCATGGAGAGGAATAGCGTGGTGGTGCCAGAATGCCTTCGCAAGTATTTGAAACAGCAATGAGCAGACAATAGTCACCGAACGTTAATTGCCATGTGAAATGTGCTGCTGTGACATACTGGTATGCTGGTTATCATGGAACACGTGAAGGTTCACAGAAGGCTTAAAAACTCCTAGAAGATGCTAAGAGTTATGAGGCCTATTGCTACTCCTCTGCCATGACACTTGATATCTTGGTTAACTTGTTTTCAAACTTCTCATGGGTGCTCCTTTTATTTTTCCATGAAAAATTAGTTAATTAGAGCAGCCAGCGTTTGAGCTTGGACTTGAAAGGAGACTGGTCTATATGCTTTTACAATTTACAAACAAAAAGCTTGGACTGGATTTCACACTGTTGGAGAGAAGGTGAATCTTTCAAAAGATTTAAATTTTCTGAAATAAGAAAACATCTAATTCATAGTAAATTGATAAATGTAGTCAGTTTGTTCTATATGTTGAACACACAAAATGTTAAAATACACATTTTAACCACATCTTCATGAACTGAATAGAACAATAATGCAATTCTATTTTAAGGAAGAAGTTTGACAGTGATGTTTTGATTAACTGGCATCAGCAGAGAGGAGAATCAGCTATTGAATTAAAATTTGTGGTCTCTCAAGTGAGATAAGAAAGTAGTATTCAGCAGTTTAGGGGTGTAGTTGTTTAATGCTGAGATTGAGGAGAAATCTACAGAGCTACTGGTGTTTTCAGTTGAGTTCTTTAATCCACTGTCCAGAACAGTCCGTTGTTCCTTAACTGGAACACGCAATCATACCTTTTCCTTATTCGTGTCTTAAATATTTGAGCTAGTATCATGCTTCTGGTAAACACCCGACTCTAGATCTTTAGTTTGTATTATCTATATAGTAATGCAATATCTGAGCTGCTCTGTGAAGTTAACAGGATTTTGTTGTTTACTGGAGCTTTTACTATATTGTATGCACCTTAGCACGGAGCAGAAGTTCTGCAGGCCATGGCCAAATGGTGCAATGGCTAGTTACTACGATTTTTTAAATACACGGTGCAAGCATTAGTTAGTGTAGCTTTCGGATTATTAGCGTAGACTTATCTTATCAATAGACTGTAAGAATTAAAGGCATTTGCAGCTCAGGACAAAGGCAATTAAAGGCAATTTTGTGGGCAAATTACCTTCTCTGTTCACCACCATGGTCTTGGAGAATCTGTTAAAATGGAATGATAGAGCTGGAATGTTTGATTCTGGCCTTTCTGCTAAAAAATTTATTATATCTGGATTTCTGGGTAGAATGGGAAAGACAATTACTAGGCATAATTAACAGCATAAAATCTGTATATATTGAAACTTTACAGAAATATTTGGGTGGGGCTAGGGAGGAGGGTGGGAAGGGAGGGGGTTGTCCAACGCTGGTACGAAGTAGTCACTTTAACATTGAAACCTCTGCCTCATTGAATTCAGGGTTTAATGTACTTGAAGCTCTGCAGTTCCTTATACAGCTTTTTTATTTATACATAACTTTTTTGTATACTACATTGAAAATGTCTTTAACTTTCCTGAAATTACTTTCTGCTCCCAGTGTACAGTGTATGGCAAATGGGAGAGATTTTCAAAGCGGATGTCTCAGACTTACGTACGTTGAAGAAGTGTATTGCATGAGACACAGCAACCCTTTGATTAAGGATGTCCTATTGCTTTCAGTTTTCCATCAACTTTACCTTGCCATTTATTTTTGTGTAGCAAAAACGTTTGCACTTGTGATACACTCCTAAACTTTGGATGTATTCAAAATGTTGTTCTGAAAAAATTTGCTGTTTCCTATTATATTCTATTCCTGAGTGGCAAGCTCAGGTCCTTATTACCCCTGTGAGGGGATATCTCACTGCTCTGGAGAGAGAGGGGGGATTATTAAGCTGAAACTATGTATCTGTGCTTTGCATAGAAGACTTATGTAGTTAATGTGAAAACAAAAAGGGAAAATGCATATGAATTTGCCAAAGCCATTCATTCGTTCACTGTTTCTCATGTGGTACTAGCTGCATGGGGTTTTTTTTTTGTTTTTGTCTTTTGTGCACAAGAGTAAGAAAGCTGCCTTTTCTAATGGTGTCTCTTCCAGCTTGAAAAAAAAAGATGGCTATGTGTTTGATCCTCTCCCAGACATCTCTTGCATAGCCTAGCACTGAACATTTTTGAGGAATTCTTGTTCACTTTTGATTTATAAACAGACTGGATGAAAAAATTGTTTCATATTCATTGGTTGAACTGTATCTCATTTCTAGTGTTTTTCATTTTTAAACTGATCATGTTGCCGCAGAAAACAAGATGATAAATAACTGTTTCAACTGGCTAGTATTAAGATTTTTTTTGTTTTGTTTTGTATAAGGGTATATGCATAACTGGGGTTGCTATGAGAAACTAAACCATTTGTTTCCACACGAGTGATATTGCACAACACAGATACCTACAGATTCTGTTTTCATTTCCATGTAATCTTTATCTGTAACAATGACCTTTGTAGAGTCGTTATTTCTGTAGACTTTGTTTATCTGTAACAAACTTTGTAGATTCTGTGAAATGTTATTTTAACTAAATCACTTGAGTCTTTAATAGCAAAGCATCAATATTCACTGAAGTCAATATCTTAAGAGTTTTTGGAAGTTGACTAGAAGCTCTTGACACTAACAAAGTAGTGTTAAATTTCCCTGGCGATGTTCCACTGGGGCATTACTGTATTATGACTTGATGTTGCCGCATAGACTTTGAGATATAAAATATTTTGGGGGTTTTGTTGTTTGGCCTATGTTCTCTTGCATAGTGTGAAACCTGTAAAGCTTGGTTAACCTGTATATAGATAGCTTATTGTCAACTAGTTATAGTGTATTTAGAATTGCCTGTAATATTTTAGCTTCTTACTGAATGTGTGTGATGGTAGGAACATATAATTTTTGTACATTATATTTACTGAGATGTTGCCTTTTTTATTTTACAAATACTTTGGAATTCAGATGTGTTTTTGCTTCCGTGAGGATTAATTTGGAAAGGTTTTTAATGACATTCCACTGATTTAAAATTTTGCTTGAGGTTGACTTCAATAAATTGTTCTGAATGTTCCAGTGAGGAATGGATGCTTTTTCATGCTTTTCAGTCCGGGCACAGAGTAGAATGCCCAACTTTGGCATTAGCGATGTGCAAGTTACTGAAGGTGGTTCATGAGTGACGGCCGAGGAGCAGAACAGCTCCCCGGTGTGGGGTAGGGGGGCTTGGGGCGCGCCGCGGGAGCTGCTGCCACCGGTGACAATGGTAATATCGGGGAAGACGTCAGTTCTGCACCCGGCTGGGTCGGATACGGTCGCCTTTGAACTGTCGAAGTGCTGCAGAAATGCCCACAACCTGATAAAGAGATGCAATGCCCAGTGCATACTGCTGAAACTCAGCTGTGACATACCCGTTTTTGACTTTGTAAAGCACGTTCAAGGAACTCGGTTTTCTGTCTGTGGTTGTACGCTTGCTGAACCTCTGGCAGCAGCTGTTGGCTGCTTAGAAAAATAAATGCGGTTCTTCGCCCTGCTTCCTGGTGCCACCCGGAATTGAATTGCAGCGGCGCTCCAAGGCGGGGGTGCGTACAGCTCGCTGCCGGCTCTTACAGCGTTCGTCTTCAGAAGCGCCTTGCGTTACCGCGGGGAAGCGCCG